CTGGAGGACTGGTGTACTGTTAGCATATAAAACGGTACAGCTGCTATGGAAAATCTGGCAGCTCCTCAAAATATTAGAAGTAGGATTATGGTATGACCCAAGCATTCCACATCTGGATACATATTCCAAAGTCTTGAAAGCACAGTTTCAAAGAGATGATTGTATACTCATGTTCATAGCAGCATGACTAATATATCCCAAAGTTTAAAACCAAACAAGGGTCTGTCCTTGGATGACTGGACACATTGCCTCACATCTTACACCAAATCCACTCAAAATGGAACAAGGACCTAAATCTTCGACCTACACCATCAAATTACCAGGGAACATTGGGGAAACTCTGCAAGGCATTGGCACAGGCAAGGACTTTTTGGAGAAAACCCAAAAGTGTAGGCAATCAAAGCCAAAATTGTCCAACGGGATTACATCAAGCTGAGAAGTCTGAACTACAAAAAAATCGGCAAAGTCACAAGGTAACCAACAGAATGGGAGGAAATAGTTGTCTAACATCCACAAAATGCAATATTACTCAACCATTTAAAAAGGAAAGGTTTGCCAATATACACTACAATGTGGGTGAGACCAGAGGACCTTATGCTAAGTGAACAGGCCAGTCACTAAAGGACAAATACAGTAGTAGTCCACTTACAAGGGATATTCAGAGGCATCACATTCATATAGACAGAGAGTACGATGGTGATTTTCAGGGGCTTGTGGAAATGAGGATAGGGAGTGAGTGTTTAATGGGGACAGACTTTCAGTTTGTGAAGATGAAAAAATTTCGAAGGTGGCTGGTAGTGATAGCGCCACAACAGTGTGAGTATGCTTAATGCCTCTGAAATCGATAATCAGAAATGATTAGTCAACGTTATCTTATGTATATTTTACAATAATAAAATTTTGGAAAAAATACTACTACTGGTAAGAAAAGACGATGTTCATTTGCCATGACTATTTCAAGGCCCACTGTATACATATGTCTTTGTGAACATAGATGTAGATATAAATACAAATCACATACAGCTATATGTAGCTATCTGGAACCTGAATGTTTAAGGGTGAAACTGAGTTCTTATGATTTGATTATTCTTTACAGATCGGTCAATATTCTGGAATATGGTGGAAACGTGCTCCTTCAACTTTCCACTAATTGAGCACTATACTTAATGGAGTCTTAAGCCTGTGATCATTAAGTACGTTGAAAATACAGTATCGAAAAATTAAAAGCAAAAAAGGAAGGGGTAGTGGGGCATGGCGGTATCGATTTGTTCTTCGAATAGCATCTTTGAGATAAATGAAAACTATTCTATTTCTGCGAATAAAATAAACAATACAAATCTTCGCAGGAACCCTTTCAAGTGCCCCGGTGTGTCTGGCTGATTCAGGCACCCGTGGAAGACGGGTGTCTTCTCTGAGCGATGGGCATGGCCATGGGTACCGCAGGCCCCATGAAGCGTCTGGCCTGGCACGCACAGACTCTTCGTGCACTGGCTGCCCCTGGACAAAGGCTCCAGGGTAGCAGGGACACCTCTCACTTTCCACGGAGCACTTAATCCAGAAGCCAGGATGGGACCAACCACCCGAGAAGAGAGAAGACGCCCCCCGCAACTCAGCCCAGCCCTGCTTGCCGCCCTGCAGGTCCCCAGGACGCCCTGGAGCCACACCACTCCCTTCTCACCATTACCGCGTCACGGGACCCTGGCGGTCGGCGCCTTGGTCTGATGGGAGAAGATTCCGCAGAGGACCAGGGCTCCGGGCTATGCCGAGCACCAGGGGAGGAGTCGCTGGGAGGACCGCGAGGCCCCCGGGATAGCAATGCCCTCTGACCTCTGCCCACCAGCGACCCGGAAGATGTGAGCTCGCCCAACTTCCGCCTGGTGATGCAAGAGGAACGTCTGAGGTGGGTGGTTCCACTCTTCGTGGGGCACGGGGCCCAGGCTCTGTGAGGAGTCCAGCTTGGACCCGAGGGGTAGCTAGGAAGCCCCCAGCCCCCACAGAGGGCCCCAAAGACGCAGCCCTGCCCCTGCTCTCGGCGCCACACCTCCTGGGGCCCGCGTGTGGAGCAGATCCCGGCTCCCATCTTCCACATCCGGGGACTCTGGGAGGCGCAGCCTCAGAGTGACGTGGGCAAGACGGGTGCGCAGAGCTGGACGGCCCGGAGAGGCTCCGCGCTGAGGGGCCCAGGGGGGACACCGCGCTGAGGGGCCCAGGGGGGACACCGCGCTGAGGGGCCCAGGGGGGACACCGCGCTGAGGGGCCCAGGGGGCACACCGCGCTTGCTCCCCACGTCAGCCCAGTCCAAGGACCCCCAGAGCCCGTGCTTTCCCTGCATCGGCCCCGGGAAGCCCTGCGCGTGGAGGCAGGCTGCGACGGACGTCCCTGCCGTGGAGGCCTCGGAGGGGAGCCCCGCTCCGTCAGGGACCGAGGGAAGGGCACAGGGAGAACGGGGTGGGGGTGGGGGTGGGGGTGGGGCTCGGGCTCCAGAACGGGGGTGGGGGCTGAGGCTCCAGAACAAGGCCCCCTCCCCGCAGCCTGCCCCTGCCATCGGCCCTGTGAGGACCTGTGCAGCATGAATAGACATAAAGGGCCTGGGCCCACTGAGGACCGAGGATGAACACTTGGATGACACCCCAGAGAGAGGAGGCTCCCCTGAAATTGCTTTCCTTGAGAAACCTCATGCAGGTTTGTGCAGAGCTGATGTACACTCACCTGTGTCTCCCAAGTATCAGGAAATTGAGATCTGTGGTCTGAAGGGAAGCATCAGGTCAGCACAGGGGAGCACGCTCCATCAACAGAGGGAGGAGTCCCAGGATCTACCAGAAGCCAAGGCATGGACACTTGGTGAACACTGAATGGGCCCACAGCCAAGAAGGATGGGACCCTACGGAGTTTGAAAACCTCCTGTTCTCTATCCTGAGGGTCTGGCTCAGGAGTGACCCTACACAGGATGCTGATTTCTGCAAGGGCCAGGCATGTGGGGAGTCCTCAGGGAGTGGAGATCTTGGCCTAAAGGGAGAGGTCAGTTAAACTCAGGAGCAGCAGGGGTAAGGACGGGCAGGCCCTGGCAGGAGACCAGGTGGATAGGGCAGAGGAGAAGCTAAGGAGCCCCTAGTCCATAAAAAGTTGCATTTTGCTGATATCCCTGGAAATCCCACACATGCAGACAGAATGCGCTAGCACCTCACTTCCATCTGTGTGCACCCAGGGACGTGAGGAACTTGTTTTGAGTGGGTGATATCAGGTCAACACAGGGAACGATCTGGTGTCCTGACAAAATGGTCTTGTGACCTGCTGAAAAGGCCAGCATAGTTGTATAATAGGTTGAGCCATCGCCTGCAACACCGACATCCCATATGGGCACCAGTTCAAGTCCTGTCTGATCCACTTCTAATCCAGCTCCCTGGTAATGTGCCTGGGAAAGCAGCAGATAATAGCCCAAGTCCCTGGGCCCCTGCGCCCACGTGGGAGACCTGAATGAAGCTCCTGGTTCCCGGCTATGGGCTGGCCCAGCCCTCACCCAACCCTGACCTCTCTCTCACTTTCTCTCTCCCTCTTTTTTTGTTTGTTTGTTTGTTTACTTGACAGGTAGAGTTATAGACAGAGAGAGAGAGACAGAGAGAAAGGTCTTCCTTCTGTTGGTTCACTCCCCAAATGGCCGCAGCGGCCGGCACTGAGCTGATCCAAAACCAGGAGCCAGGTGCTTCTTCCTGGTCTTCCATGCGGGTGCAGGGGCCCAAGCACCTGGGCCATCCTCCACTGCCCTCCCAGGCCACAGCAGACAACTGGACTGGAAGAGGAGCAACTGGGACTAAAACCCGGTGCCCATTTGGGATGCCAGCGCCGCAAGGCGGTCTCTCTCCCTCTTTGTAACTCTGCCCTTCAAATAAATAAAATAAACCTTTAAAAAATATGACCTGCTAAATAAGAGTGTCAATTGTTACATCAACAGCAGAGTCACTGTGTTCCCCATGTAGGACCTCTGTCCTTAATGTGTTGTACTATGAGAATTAACGGTAAAACTAGTTTTCAAACAGTACATTATACTTTGTGTGTCTCTGTCGGTGCAAATTGTTGAAATCTTTACTTAGTATAGAGTTGATCTTCTGTATATCAAGATAATTAAAAATGAATCTTGGGGGACGACACTGTGGCGCAGCAGGTTAATGCCCAGGCCTGAAACGTCGGCATCCCACATGGGCGCTGGTTTGAGACCCGGTGGCTCCACTTCTGATCCAGCTCTCTGCTATGGCCTGGGAAAGCAGTAGAAGATGGCCCAAGTGCTTGGGCCCCTGCACCCATGTGGGAGACTGGGAAGAAGCTCCTGGCTCCTGGCTTCAGATCGACGCAGCTCCAGATGTTGTGGCCATCTAGGGAGTGAACCAGTGGATGGAAGACCTCTCTCTCTCTCTCTCTCTCTCTCTCTCTCTCTCTCTCTCTCTGCCTCTCCTCTCTCTGTAGCTCTGACTTTCAAATAAATAAATTTTTTAAAAAATTATGAAAAAAGAATCTTAATGAAGAATGGGATGGGAGAGGGAGTAGGAGGTGGGATGGTTTGGGGTGGGAGGAACCGGTATAATCCAAAAGTTGTACTTATGAAATTTAAGAAAGCTTTCTATAGAAAGTATGACCTGCTGAGTGTCAAACGTAGTTTCAGGAGGGAATACTGAGAGTACTCCCAGCTCAGAATACTGATGGGGGCCCGCAGGTGCTTCAGATAACAGAGGCAGAGTCTCAGGCCCTGCCGTTTGTCATGGTGAGGACTGACCAAGAGCATCACACTTGTATACATGCACCCAGGGAATATGGCCGCATTTTGCTGCTGCCCTAGGGCAGGCATGGCCAGATGTGAGGCCCGCATAGCCTTTTGTTCCCTCTGTGAGTTTGATTCATTGCCTCAAGCGGGCAGAAGGGTGAAGTGCAGACCCTGTCGGAACTCAAAAACCTGAGTTGAGCAAAGAGGGGACTCTGCACTCCAGCACAGTGGAAACTACAGTCTAGCCCATCCTGCTGTCAGATCTGGGGTTCTGAGCGTGCTGCTTGCAGTCTGCAGCCTGAGAGTCCCCACAATTCATCTTACAGGAGCTTCAAGAACCAACTGATGAAAGTCTTGGTCTGAGGCAGTGCCTTCAGATCACAGAGAAGAAAAGGCCCAGGCAGCATCAAAGAGTCAAGGTGAGATGAATCCCTTGAATACTGACACAGAACAGAGGTGACCCCAAAGAACCCAATCCCACTGCACCCTTGGGAAGACATGTCTCTCCATTGCACCTTCTGCTTCTCAAGGGACAGTCCTGACAGCAGGACACCAGCCCTATGAGACGCTCCTTAACGACCCAATGAGAAGGCCTGTAAGTGGGCCTTTATCTCCACCATCCAGGCTGTGGTACTCAGCTGAGCTACTCATGCTCTCCCTCTCTTCCCCAGGCTGGTGGCCTCCATCGACCAGCCGCTACCCACCCTTGTGCCAGCTGCCCCCAGGAAAGCCAAGATGCATGAGGATCAGAGGAGTCAGCTCTACAGGCCTGAAGGACAACCCCAGGCCCAAGGAGAGGCACCAGGCAGGTTGTGGACAGTGATTCCCATAGCTGGGAAACACGAGTCCACTAACTCTTCCTTCTCTAGTCCGGTATCTGGCACCCAAAGGGAGGTGTCTGCTGCTGGCATACTGAGTCCTCCTCAGTTTTCCAAGAGCCTCCTCTCTGACTGACATTCCATCACTACAGGCAGTGAATTCCATGATGGCACAGGTGCCTGCCAGGACCCAACAGCACATGAATCCTCACATCTGGGGACACTAGAAGTGAAGATGGGTGAGTTGCTGCAGCTCCTGCTCCATAAGTATCGAATGAAGGAGCCGATCACCAAAGTCGAAATGCTGTCATGTGTCGGCAAAAATTATGAAGACCAATTCCCTGCGATCTTCAGTAAGGTGTGTGGGTGCATGCAGCTGGCCCTTGGCATTGATGTGAAGGAAGTAGACCCCGTGGGTCACTCCTATGAGCTTAACACTGCTCTGGGCCTCACCTATGATGGGATGCTGGATGATGATCAGAGCATGCCCAAGACTAGCCTCCTGATAATGATCCTGGGCCTGATCTTCTCAGAAGGCAACTGTGCCTTTGAGAAGGAGCTGTGGGAATCTCTGAGTGTCATGGGGGTGTATGCTGACAGGGAGCACCACATCTACGGGGAGCCCAGGAAGCTCCTGACTGAAGAATGGGTGCGGGAAGGTTACCTGGAGTACTTGCAGGTGTCCCACAGTGATCTTGCTTGCTGTGTGTTCTTGTGGGGGCCACGGGCCCATGCTGAAACCACCAAGATGAGAGTCCTGGAGTATTTGGCCAAGTTCAGTAACACTGATGCCAGGTCCTTCGCATCTCTGTATGAAGAGGCTCTAAGAGATGAGCAAGCAAGGGTCCAAGCAGGAGATGCAGTTGGGGCCGGTGGGGGAGCCAGGGCCTGAGCCAGATTCACTTCCAGCAGCTCCTCCCGCCCATTTTAAACCAATTTCCAGGCTTGTTTGAAGAGAGAGTGGTCAGCATTCTGAGTAGTGCAAGGGCGGGGAGGGTTGGAGGACACACGCGGTATTCCATTTGTGTGATCTTGTTTTATTTGTTTGGTGTCAACGTTGACCTTTGTATTTCTCAAATATTTTGGCTGATAAACAAAATTTCAAATGCCTTCATCATGGGGGTTGTTGAATGACAGTAGTCACACATTTATTGCTGTTACCTACTTGAGCTTTATGAGACTGTTGCCATGTGATCAATAAATTGGGAAATGTATCTTGTTTTGATGTCTGGAACAAGAAATGATAGCAGTGGAACAGCTGTGTTCTCGGAAACGGCAAAGAAATTAACAGTAGCATAGATAACGAATTAGACAAAAGATAACACCTCTTGTATTTTCTTTTCCCTTTTAGTCTGCCCTGTAACATTGGAACATATACATGTACTCAAAGGTTCTCTTCCTTTCATGAACATGCACAAGTGATTACCTCTTCCGTAAATTTGGCTCAGTGATGTCAAATTAACAGCTCCATATTTCACATACCTGTTGTATATCTGCTGTGTGGAAGGTTCTATGCTGGAGAGGGGATGTAGGCATAGGCCACACCCACCCTAGTAGAGAAGGGTAGAGTCCAGCAGCAGCCATCATAGGAGGAAGACAGAGAGATGTCCTCTGAGACCCACAGAACCAAGAAAGGAGGGCTGAGAATCTGCGGATCCAGGCGAGGCCGTGGGAGTGTAACCTTCCTGAATCCAGGTGTGGTAGAGTTGGGAAAGTGCGCTTCCTTCATCGGGAGTTCCCTGCGAAGAGGCTGGGTGGTAGCAGATGCCAGCCAGACTCTCGGAGAGTCTGGCTCTGTTTTCAGAAAAGTCTGCAATCAAATAATTCTCCGTGCAGTTGCTCCTCCATACTGGGTAAACCACAGGAATCTGCACCTGGGACAAGTACCGAAAGTACCCTGGGGTCTTGTCCCAGGGAGGTTGAATACAACAAGAATCCTGTAATTGATGCCCCTCAGTTGCAAGGCTGTCCTGAGGGATAAGGATGATTCTCTGGGGAGAGAGACCTGAAGACCCTGGCAGATACTCCTCTGGCTGGCTGCAAGTGCTGTTGCTCATTTTGTTAGAAATTTACTGTAGTGAGTAATCCTTGCCGATTTTAAGCACTGATTAGATTTGTAGTGATAATAAAATGAGCGGAAATGTTAATTTTGGTGGAAAAGGAACTGTGAAGGAGGGAAGGATCAAGTCCTTGGATCCAAATCTAACAGCTTTAAGCTCCAGCAGGCTGCTCCACAAGCGAAAATTGCAGTGTGTCCTCTAAGTGGGGATCTTTACCTGGTATTGTCGAGGATTCCTTGTTTGGCTGATTGATCATTCCATTTGCTTTTGAGCTGCATATTGCCTGATGTCTCCTGGAGAACAGGACAGCAACAGCAGCATCCCAGAGGGCCCAGCCCTTGGATTCAGCGATATTACAGTAACAGCCACCTGTCAGTCATGAAAGCCTGGCACAGGGCCAGGTGCTGTAGGTACAGTTACAAGTTCCATAGAGCTACTGGCCAGAACAGAACAGACCCAAAACATAAGTTTGGGACCCAGGGCTCAGTGATGTCTCAGGCCCCTGACTATTAAGTGAAATTTCTGGGAAGATTCCTGGGTCTGAATTCTTCAGTCTTTTCAGTCCAAGGCCAATCATCTGACTAGTTCATTTCTCCCCTCACCACTACACAATGAAAAAAAGGAACCTGCAGGGGGCCAACATTCTCACGTGGACCTCGTGAAGGTGACTGTGAGAGTCAAATACAGTTTAGAGACTGCTTGCACTTTGTTCCTTGAGAGCTGACTCTGCAAAGGTGTAGCCATTTCTGTCCAGTACTAGCATGTTCTGGCACTGCAGCGCCCTCCCCTTGGTGTCCCAGAACTGCCTCCTGGAACCTAGCGTGCTGCCTTGCCCTTAACTGCCACCTGGACACATGTAGCATTCTTACTGCCTGCAGGAGTCCCTGAACCCCCATCCCTCACAGTCCTATCTGAGAGCCAACGTCCTGACACTGGGAAAGTGCACTCTGGACTATGATCATAGACACCTGGTCGTACTTCCCTGGGGGTTGCCAACATCCTGTTGTTTCCCAGTGGACAGGAAGTCGAATGTAATGGTCCTGTAATCAAGTGGCTCTGAGGATGCAGCACTGAAAGTAGACAGAGGGGATGAGTGCACTCAGATATTTGCAGTAAGATTTGAATGAGCTTCTAATTCATGACTGGGAACTGAACACCTAAACAGTGGATTGGGCTTATCTTTAGGATCAGAACTGAACACCCCTCATGAATGGTTGGTGTGGGCAGCCATTATTGAAATGCAATCCAAAAACCCTGGGACTCACGGTGTGACAGGCAGGTTCTTGATAGGCATGGTAGCTCCAGTTTCATGAGCACAAGTCTTGAACCGATCTTTGACTGTCTCAGGCTGACATCTGCTCTGCAGGCAAGTACTGACTTTTGGTGTGACTAATGGCCCCTGCACAGGTGCTCAGGCAAAATAGTCACGAGTCAGATAGCAGATATCCATGGTGACTAGAAATTATACTCCTACATCATATGGAAGGAGATATGCCTCAGGCTATTGGGGTTGCACACAGCCTTGCAAAGTGGAGCAATCAGAGTGTAGCAGCTTCAGAAACAAGCCAGAGGATGGAATGCTCTGCTTTGGCAGGACAGGATGAGGCAGACCTGGCTGAAGATGCCAGGGGCAGTGTGCTGTCCCACCAGGCTCCTGTGCAAAGCTGTGGTCCATGAGCCCCTCTCCTGCTGAGTCTTACCCTGGCCCGAGCTTCTTTCTGTGAGTACGATCGTTGCTCACACTTGGGACCTTGATGACGGTGCTTGGGTTCCAAAGGGAGCTGAGCTCAAGCCACCATAGGGTGAAGCAGTTGAGGGACCTAGCCAGGACCTGGCTGAGACACATGCCTACCCTCACAGGAACCGCTGAGGACAGGCCCCAGGGCATTCCTGCGCTCTCCTCCTATGTCGTTAACCCAGCTGAACAGGCAGAAGGAACAGGTACTTAGAATACAGCCAGTCATAAGGGCCTGAGTCGTCAGCGAGCACTCTGGGGATCACACACAGATACTGGTGATTCGGACCTTGAGAGAACTGAGAAAGACAGCACCCAGCCACAGTCTTTCCTTTCCCCCGTGGCTGTGGTTCTCAGGTCAAGGAGCGTGCTCCAGGCGTGGCTGACATTGTTCTTGCTGACTGAGTCTCAAGCCAGGCTCTAAGCCTTGCATTTTTATCCTCACAACCCACCTCCTTTTGTGGATCAGTGATTCCAGCTTCCTTCTTTTGCCAGTGTGAGGGGCCCCAGTGATATGTCCTGGAGCCACAGCGACAGAAGTGTGATTATATAAGCTTCGGACACAGTGAGGAGACTAGTCTGAAGGCGGGCTGGCCCCTGGACGAATGGGAGAAGTTGGTTCTGACGTTCAGCTCATGGTCCGGGTCTCAGTGGTCCACTCCTCCTACCTGGGGAAAGGGGTGCTTCAGTGCAGGACGTTCCAAAGGCTTCTGTTTCCTGCACTGCTCCCTCCTTAGGAGAGGGGCAAGTATCAAGTCACATGACTGGTATTGGTGGGAAAGGCACAGCGGAATGATCACTGGAAAGCTGACAGTTGAGCCTATAGGGGCACACACTCTTCATTTGGACCCATTTCATGGGTACTTTTCTCTAAGGTGTTACACATCTTCTTGCTGTGATAAATAGAAGAAAAAGTGCACCCCTTGCTCTGTCCTTGATGTCTTGGAACACTCATCACAAAGGCACAGCGGGTTCTGGGTCACAATAGACTCCCCAGTCCCCATGGAGGAAAGTGCTGTGGGAGGAACACAGCCTTTCCTCTGTCCTCTCTGCAGGTGCATGTATGTCTTGGAAGCTTCTGCCAGGGCCAGCTCCCACAGGCCAGCATCCTGATCCCTTCCAATGGTGCACTAGCCCTGAGTGTATTCCCAGCTAGCGACAGAACCACTTGTGTCAGGTCTGCACAATACCAAGGTGAGAGAGGCACCTTCCTTGATAACAGGCTTTGAGGGAAAACGAAATTCTGTACCCGTCAATGTACATGTGGATCACAAGACATATACAGGTTCAGAAACATTAAAGTGTGGATGTAAGTTATGTCTCAGGCATAGAATAACAAAAGCCACTTCCACTTTGCCTCCTCATTTAGGTCAGGCATTTTACATGCAGCTGATAGCTGGTATAAAGTCACTGTAATTCTCTGCATCTGTGTTACGACATTCCCGATGTAGAAATGAGGAAATGGAGGCCATGGGGTTTAGCTGATGGGCTCTACTTAGAAGGGACAAGAATCATACTTAAACTGAGCCCCCTATAAGTCCTATTCCCTGTCCCTACACTGACCAGCACTGTGGCCCACATGACCAGGGAGTGGCATCTGTCACCCACGGGTACTGAGTGCTCGATTCCTCAGATCACATCATTGAGAACTGTGGGGAAGTCAGGGAGAGCATCTCTCGGCACACTGCCCACGCAGCTTTTGTCCAACTAATCCCTGAGTCACCATCTCCACTGCAATGGACACCAAGTCCCCAGGAGGACACTGGGTGTTTAGAAAAGAGTCTGTAAGGTTGGAGTCGCTTCCAGTTGAATGAACATGTTGCAGGTCGGACCCTCTGAAAGGTATGCTGAAATCCAGGGATGGACCCTGCACCCCGGGCACCTAACAGACCTCCTCCCCTTCTGGTCTAGCTGGCTAAATTACTTACTTAACCTTCTGGAAAATCAAAATATGGAGACACTACCAATATCTGTTCGTTCCAGGGATGAGGGCTAGAATGGAAATTTGAATAGGAGAAGCACAGGGAACTTAGTCAAGTGATGAAACTGCTCAGCATGGTTGTGTACTGGCAGTTGCATGACACTATTCATTTTGCAAAATATGTAGCGACTTCAAGAAAAAGTGACCCTTACGATGTTCACGTTTTAGGAATATGCAGGACTTCAAGAAAGGACAGATGCAGCAGAAACTATGACACAGCACGGTAGCTGTGAGACAATTGTATGAGACAACCTCTGTGATGGGTCTCAGGAGAAATGGTGCTGGTCTGAGTAACTTTGGAAGTGAATGTATAGAAATAAGGTCAAGAGCAACTGTACTCAACGACTAGCAGTTAGTTGATAAAGCTGATCCTTCAGGGATTGGGGTTAATATTCTGAGATCAATATTGGAGGGCACTTTAAAAATTTCATAGAAAAT